TTTTTATTATATTTTTTCTTGTTTCATGTTCTCAGTATGACTATATCTATATATTTTTTATTTATATATTTTGTTCTTGTTTCATGTTCTCTATATGACTGACATAGCTCTAAGCATTGCATTCTTACATTGTAGCATTTAAAGTATAAAAGGGGTAAAGGGATTCTCTCCCTAGGAATGAAAGTTTATTTCCCTTGTCCACTATGAGTCCTATTTGATTATCTTATGTGCCAAAATGGAGTCATTGTTACCAGTGAGAAAACTGGGAAAGTAAAACCTGATGCTTCCAGTGACTGTCTGTGGGACTAGGTTCTACAGAGAACCTGTGGGATGAGAATAATTGGGAGGTCAGCAACTAACACAGTTGGCCACAGCTAGCCTAAGGAGCGGGCAGTTGACTTCCATCACTGTGGCATACCCGTGTACTTGCATCAAATGACACAAATCTTTACAGTAGTTATTAAGAGACAGAAAAGAATAGGAGGGTATTGAGACTAGAGAAAGGAAAAAGTAGAAGTGTCGCCTGGTCCTGTGCTTGCTTCAGGATGAGAACTCTGAATTCTGAGGCTTTGTGTTCATGATGACCTCTCACAGGTTTTTGCTTCTAATAGTCACCTCTTCTGGCTTGTCTCATCAGAGAGGACTCACTACTTAGCAGTCCCTTTTCCGAAGTTTTATTTCTTCTGAAAGTTTTGTTTCCAGTAAAAAGGATGTAGTTAATATTGGTTCATTTACTTAGTATTTCTTAACTTTGAGTTTGAGAAATCAGAACATTGTTTAGTCAGGTTATTTATTCTTCATAATATATGATTTACATTAAATAGATTTTTTAAATTCTAAACACTAGCCATGCATTTAACTTGCTATAAAAAGAAAACCGTGTTCTTTATTGAAAAAGACCTCTGATTTATAACAGCTTCGTCCTTTTTCTTTTCTTTTTTTGTTACATCTCTAAAATGGTTATAAATTCTATGCAGAACTTTAAGGAATTTTCAGTATATGGTTTGATCCTTTTTTTTTCCCCGTCTCTTTTTTCTTCTTCTCATTCCATCTAGTATTCTTACCTTCTGGTTGTATACATACACACAGTGAATCATGGCAATTCTTACTTAATCTTTAAAATTACTTAGTAAACATAATTAAGATTGTCTTGGGGCTGGAAAGATGTCTCTGTCAGTGAAGTGTTTGCCATGCAAGCATGGTGACTTAAGTTCAGATTCTCAACAGTCACTACAAAAGCTGGCTATGGTGGCATGCACCTATAATCCTAGCTCTGAAGAGAGGAGATAGGAGGATCTCTGGAGAGATCCAGGGAGATGGCTCAGTGGTTAAGAGCACCGACGCTCTTTCAGAGGTCCAGGTTCGATTCCCAGAACCCACATGTTGGCTACCTCCAGTTCCAGGGTATCCAATGCCTCCTTTTGACCTCTGTGGGCATTGCACCACAGGTATAATTGCACACATGCAAGCAATATACTCATACACATAAAAATAATAAAATATTTTTTAAAAATGGAGAACAATTAAGGAAGATACTTGATGATCTCTGGCTTCCACACACAAACACATTCATGCACACGCACCTACATACATGTATGTAAATGCATAAGATACCCGCATGTACAGATTATTTTATCCCTGGCTATTTTAATATACAGCTCAGTCTAGTTTTGAATAATTTAATAAATAAATAACCTATAAATATATGCCAGTTCTGTTTTTCATAAAGATTATATTGTTATTTTGAAAGAATTTTGTTTTTTTTCTCCTTAGGCTTTTGAGACAGTTCCTACCTATAGGCCCCAGCTGACCTGGAACTCTCTATGTAGACCAGGCTGGCCTCAGTCTCACAGTGATTCACTTGTCTCTCCCTCCTGAGTGCAGGGATTAAAGGCATGTGCCATCATGCCCAGCTTTTTTGTTAGGTCTTGTATTAGCATCTAGTTTGGTATCTATAACTTCAAATTATGGTTATATACAGTATTATAACTTCTCTTGATATAATATAGAATTGCTTTCTGTGCTTTTTATTAATCTTAAATGCAGATTAGAATTTGAAAGTTGTTGTCTATTCTGTCTCACATGTCTTCTTGATAGTGTAATCATTTCTGTTTGGGTTATAAATCCCTGTCTTTTACTAAGAGTTTCTTAATATAATATAAGAACTATATGGATATCTTATTACTAGTGTTACTCATTGGAACAGACCTAAAGAATGAACTATTGACTGTTTTTTCTTTGTTTTTTTGAGTCGAAACCTCCCTGTAGCCCCAGCTGGCCTAGAACTTGCTATGTAGACCACTTGCTGAGTGCTGCCCAGCCAATTGTTTTCTGATAGCAGACACATTGCAAATTACTCTTTAAAAATCTCTATACAAATAATTTCTGTTTTCAATAGAATAAAAATGGTTTTTGTACACTTTATGAATAAAAAATGTGCCCTTTGCCTAATACCATCTTCCCATCTATGATTTTAGTTATACAAAGATGGAAGAGAAATGCTGGAATTTTGTTATTGACAAAGTCTGACCTTCTTAATTTCTTTTTTTGTTACAAATAAATCTTTTATTTATTTTTAAATTTGTTTCTATTGAACTTTTGTGTATTTCATACAGAACATCTCAATCTTAATCATCTTTATACCCCCATCCCCACTGGCACCCTCCCAAAGCGCCCCCCCCACTGGAATTCATACATTTTGTCATTTGTGTTAAGGCCTACTGTGTCAAGTTAGTGTTCCCAGATTTTCCTCAGTGCAAGCTATCTATTGAGGTCTAGTCAGCTTATGTAGAGTCCTTTGCTTTAGGAAGATCAGCTCTTTCTCATCTTACAGTAATCATTCGCCAATATTTCTTCAGCTAAGATTGGGGTCTGCTGCCCATTTCCCCAGCCCCAGTTCTGTGCCTGGTTTTTGTTTGCTTGAGTTTGCATGGGACTTGTGTACACTGACACCATTGCTGTAGATTCATATGAGCAGGGTCCCAGGCGCTTGTAGGACTCTTACTTACATATGGTCATGCACCTCTTCCCTGGCTCTTACAGTCTTTCCACCCCCTCTTCTACAATGGTCCCCGAGCCCTGCATAGGCATTTTTATCCTGGATAGAATCTGTTCGGGCATTACCAGTGCGTTAGGAATGTCCCACTTAATGTTGGCTCATCCTATTTTTTTTTTATTAAATATACTGTTGCTTTATAACATTTATGCATATATAACATGTTACATTAATCATTCCTCTCTGAGTTTATCAAAGTTTTATGTATTAAACAAGTGAGTTTTTAATGAAGTATACAAATATACAGTCAAATAATAGGTAAGAGTTATTATCTGTATTTTGAAATCTATATGGCTCTTTGTTATTTTGCAGTGCTGGGATCAAACCCCAGATCTTGCTCATGGTAGCTGTGTTTTCCTTCACTGAGCTATGCTCCCAGCCTCAACAAGGCCCTTAGGGAAGAAAGGATGTTGGTAATTTAAAGTTGCTAGATTACACATCTAATGCTATAAGTAATCTTTATCATGATGTATTAAAATTACTTTCTCAATTTTTTTATAGAAGTAACTATCACTAGAAGATTTTTCAACAAGTTTTATTTTTTGTGTTAGTGTTTTAATAACTCATCAGAGTAAAAGTAAAATGTTCACCCCTTCCCTCCTTCCCTTTTTTTTGTATAGGATATAGCGGATCCATTTTTTGCTTATTGTAAGCAACATGCAGACAGGTTAGACAGAAAGTGGAAAAGAAAAAACTACTTGGCTCTCCAGTCCTATTGTAAAATGTCTTTGCAAGAGCGAGAAAAGCAGCTGTCGCCAGAAGCACAGGTATGGGATCATGCCTGTTTACAGATTTCATCTGTGTTTGCTCACGACGTGTGACTGACATCTAGACCTGGCATATGAAAAATAAAGAAGTGGCTTGTGATTACATGTGAGCAGAGTTTGTGGCTGAAGACATTACTCTTCGACTGAGCAGCCGCTTGTAAAGTATCATTTCCATGTTGAAAAATGAGGCTGAGAGGAAATCGTTCTCAGTGTAGTATGTTGACTAGAGCTTTTAAAATTTGTTCTAAGGCCGGGCATGGTAGCACATGCCTTTAGTCCCAGCACTTGGGAAGCAGAGGCAGGTGGATCTCTGTGAGTTCGAGGCCAGTATGGTCTACATAGTGAGTTCCAGACCAGGTGGGTCTACAGGGAGACCCAGTCTCAAAAAGACAAAAAAAAAAAAAAAAAAAAAAACTAATGTTAATTTTGCAGAGGATTTGATCAGTTTGCCCATTGTTTTATAATGTATTTTTGTGAGCATCGTATGTCAGTAATGAACATTGTAGTTAATGAGAAATATCAGCTTAATTAGTTTCTCACAACCCTGATCAGCAAAGCTGTTATTAGTGTGGATCAAATTTATTCTAACTCCAGAATTTTACTGACTACTTTAAAAGACCATTGTCACATGATTAGCCTTAATTGTGAGATTTCAGTGTTCTTACTTTCTCTAGCAAAAAAGTAAAACTCATGAGGAGTGTGTTCCATCTTATTTTTTTTTTTTAATTTGTACATTTCTTCGTAGGCAAGAATCAATGCCCGACTTCAGCAATATCGTGCCAAGGCAGAACTGGCACGATCTACCAGACCCCAAGCCTGGGTTCCAAGGGAAAAGTTACCCAGACCACTCACTAGTAGTGCTTCGGCCATTCGTAAACTGATGCGCAAAGCAGAACTAATGGGGATCAGTACAGATATCTTTCCAGTGGACAATTCAGATACTAGTTCGAGTGTGGATGGAAGAAGAAAACATAAGCAACCAGCCCTCACTGCTGACTTTGTCAATTACTATTTTGGTCAGTATAGACACTGATTGTGCAGTTTCACTGAGTAATTTGTTAATGACAGGATTCTATATGCTATTAATTTTTTAGAAGATCATTGCTGTATTACATTTGGTAAAGACGTTTATTTTCCTAAGTTTTAGCCTTTTGTAAACTGTAGTCTCAATGAGTTTTATTTAATATACTTAAAAGTGTTTAAACAATATAGGTTTATCCTATATAACCATCTCTGTGGCTAGTTTTTTCTTTGTATATGTTTTATATTAGTTTTTACTTTCTACTAAAGTAAAATTGGATATTTAATTTAAATAGAGAGAAATATGCGCATGATTCAAATTCAGGAAAATATGGCTGAACAAAAGAATATAAAGGATAAATTAGAGAATGAGCAAGAAAAGCTTCATGTAGAATATAATAAGGTACGTTGGCTAAAAATGCACAGCATCATGTAGTAACTCTTACTTCTGACTCCATTGTGATTTTATTGCATTTCTGTGTTTCTTTTTTAAATTCCTGAGCTTTTAGGCTCTTCTCCACCCCTCATTATCATTGTTACCATCACCATCAGCCTCTTACTGAGCACATCCTTGTGCCAGGCACAATTCTGATTTCTTTGCACATAGTAAGTCATTTAATCTTCTCCTTGTCTTTAGTGTAAGTTATGATTATTGTTCCTATTCTCAGGGGTGGGAACTGAATTCTGAAAAGGTTACATAATTTACCCAGGCCCAGATAGTAATGTCACAGAGTTAGGGTTTGACACGAACACATCTAACTCCATTTCCTTATTCTTAACTATAGCATTATAGAGCTTTTCAATGTAAGTTGGTTGAAAACTTAAAAACCTAGTCTTAAATTCATCTTTTTATCTTAAATTATAGATTTTATTGTTCTATCTAATATCGTATAATGAAGGTAACTGAAATGTTGGTCACTAAGTAACATGAACATTTAAAACTGGTATCAAATTATTGCTAGAAAACATTTAAAGTGATAAATTAGTAAGAAGTAATATTTAGTAATTAGCAGCACTATAGTGAGAAGAGTATGGGGAATAAAGTCAGAAGACCTGGAGATTTTTGATAGTTATGTGAGCTTGGCCAACAGAACCTTTGTGATTTTAGGTTTCCTACAAGGGAAGAGATGGATGTGTAATTAAATAGAGACATAGCAGAGTATGTGTGAAATTAGATGCTAGACTGTAACAATATACATAGATATGTAGCTGTCATTACAAAAAATACAAGCATAAAGCAATGCTTACCTTCTGTTGACCATGCAAAATAATTGTATAAATTTGTCTCTTGGTAGTTCTGTGACTTGAATATGTTATAATGTATGGAATATAAATGCAGATATTCTTGGTGGATGCTTTATTTTCTAGATAAAAGAATTTACTAATTTAACTTACTCATTTTGTAGCTCTGTGAATCTTTAGAAGAACTACAAAACCTGAATGGGAAACTTCGAAGTGAGGGGCAAGGAATATGGGCCTTACTTGGCCGAATAACAGGACAGGTTAGTTTCTTTCCAATTGCTTTTCACAATTCCTGCTGTGTGGTTCTTCAAAGTATGTATTTTTGACATGTCAGTAACTTCACTAAGTAAAGAATTCTATATCATCAGACTCTAATCTTCTGTAATAATGATTTCTGTCTGAAATACTTCCAGAATACTAGAACCCGCTGCTTACTGAGAACGTGTAATTCAATGTGGTTCTTTCATCTGTGATCTTGTTTGCAGAGTTTTTCATTTGCTCTAACTGATTGACCTGCCATTTGTGATGAGCTAAGATTTGAAGTATGAATTTCCCTTCCTACATTCTTTCCTTTAATTGAGCAGTTTTAGATTCTCTGTCACATTTTTTTTTTCATTCCCATTCTTGTACTCTATTCACATTTTAATCTCATTTGGATTTAATATTTAAAAAGGCAAATCAGAGTGATTCATGTTAATTTGGTAGAGCAGTAGAAGAAATAGTTTTTGAAACTTTATAGTTTTTCCTAGCCATTGGTAGCCATTAATTGTGATGGGGGAAGAGGGGGGCTGAGAAAGGTATTTTGTCTCTGAGCAATTTTAGATTTTAGCCTGTTACAAGTTCTTGGTATTAAAAAGAACAACATTGCAAAATGGATTTTTTGAATGCCATTTTAGATACTTTGTATAATAACTGATAAATATGATTTTTTTTCAAAAAATTTCTGTTATATTTCTTAAGGATGGATGAAGGAGACCCACTGTTTGTGATTCTTTATAAGTGTAGTTTTGTGAAGGAGACTTTTCAAAACATAGATTTTTTTTTCATTGTATGTGTTTCAGAAATTTGCAAAGAATCAACATCCTTATATAATCTATAGAGCTAAAAGTAATACATGCTGACTTAAACAATGCTCTGTTAGCTCTGAAGAGGCTTCTTTTGTGAACCAACTGCATGTGATTAGTACTATAATAATTAATTCATTTAAAAGATGAAAATGAGAAGCTGCCATCGGAAGACTTAACTTTTGTTCCTATCAGTAGATTGCTGATGAATCTTTGGAAGATTAGGGTGCTTTATAGTTGATATTTAGAGAAGGAAATGTTGAGTGTAAGAGGTTGTTTGCTAGTCTAGCATTTGTTTTGGCTTGGTTTATATGCTTGTCCCATAAAAACCCTCTTTTATACTATAAAATACTATCTATTATAAAAGACATTTTCATTTATTAAATAACTTTTCACAGAGGGTTGCAAATTTCATTGTGTAAATGTAGCAAGCACAGAAGTAGAATTCATTTGTACTGTTTGTATGCTTCTGTTCCAGTTGGCTGAACAGATGTGGGCTCACCGGGCCACTAAGAAGTGACTTTGATAGATGGCTGCTGTCTCAGAAGCCACCATACTGCAGATTAGTAGAAGCCCAAAGAGAATCTCAGCTGCTTTGTTGCAGAGTTTGTCCAATAAGATAGTTTTTCTAATTAACCTATGGAACACCAGTATAGCTGGGGTGTTGAAGAAAATAAATGGCATTGATACTGTTTTTGCCAAGTGTACTGTGTAGATTTTCTGCCACTTTTACTCTTCTCCTCATCTTTCAGTTGTTTTTCAAGCCAAAGTAGTCTAATTTCCACAGTGTTTTAGTGTATTCCTGAGAACTGATGAACACATCTAATTAGAGGCTTCTTATGGAAGGTAACTGTTAGATTAAAAACTCAATATTTTTTTTGCTAATGTATCTGGTAAAGCAAATTTACCTTTCTGAATCCTAATGTATTTTGTTGGCCCGAGTGGCAGATAGAGGAAAATGTTGCTTTCTACTTCATCTTTAAAACAATATATGCTATGTTTGTTCATATCAATAGAAGTTGAATGTACCAGCAATTTTGCGAGCACCCAAGGAGAGAAAACCAAGTAAAAAAGAAGGAGGCACTCAAAAGACATCTACTCTTCCTACAGTGCTCTATAGGCAAGTAATGAAATAACAGACTCATACTCTGTGTTTTTCAACCTACATGTCCTAGTAAGATGGCACTACTAATATTGTAGTGAATTATGTTTTTATCAAAATTTCAGGTAAGTGCAATTGAGGTTCATTTGATCAAAAATACTTTCTAAATTAAATGATAGAAGTATTTGCTGTTCTTCAAAAAGGTAAATAATGTCTTGTATCTTTTAAAAAACTGAGAATGTGTCTGCATAAGCTCCATGGAAATAGAGTTCTCTTTAGGGAATTATAGAGCTACTTTAAAAGATGTGACTACTATCTTAAATATATTACCTGAATTTGTAATTAATAATAATGCAATTATTATTTAATCAACATAAATATGTGGACATACTATTTTACTCAACTATGTTGCAAAATTCTGTTTTTAGGTAGTGATAGATTCATATATAGAGTCTGAGTCTTGTCTTGCTGGTAGTGAATACCAAGGATAAGTTTCTTATTTTTTTTTAATTTTTAATTTTTTCAAGTTTTTAATTTCAATCTGTTTATGCTTTCTTCTTTCTATGTTCAGTTGTAATAATTTTATTTTCCAGAAATAATACTATTCTTTACTTTCTGTGTTCAATATCTTAACAGTATTGATTGCTATAGTAATTTTACATAGCTAAAACTTTTTTTCTCTATCTTACTAAGGGCCTCACTTCAAGCTTTGTACAAATAAGGATCTCACTCTTTTTGTGTAACATATTAATTATATTGAGAGAACTGTAGAAAATGCTGTTGTGTTTATTTGTGTAGTGTGTTATATGTTAATGTACATATGTACATTAGTGTATATATGTATATACATATATCTATGCAAATACATAGGTAATCTTCCTAGAGGTTCTGTTGTAGAAATAACAGCAATAGCAATCATAAACTCCATAGCTATTTTTTCTTTTTGTTGTAGACTCTTTCCACGGCCAACAGCAAATAACTTGCTGAGTTGTGGGAAAAGCACTGTCTTAGTATACAATGTGAACATTGTATGTCATCACACTGCTTTTTCAAACATGATTGATTCCTTTGAAAGTATCATACATAGCACTTGACTTCTGACTTTTATGACAGTAATTAAGTTTTGCTTCAGAATATGTTTAAAGTGATTTCCTTTTTAAGATCTGGTACTGGTTGTTTGTTTTTATTTTAAATTTTTTTCCAGGAGTTTTAAGAAAAAAAAAAACCTTGCATAATTGCTCTTTTAGCTTGTCTGTGCATGCTTGATTCTTTTAGGTTCTGAAATAATTTTTCCCTCATCCCGTACACCCTTAATATAAGTATATAAATGTATGCTAAGTTTTCTAGGCATTGTGCTCATTTTCTTAAATTGCCTTCACCCACAAGAAATCTTAACTTTCTTAATCCAAAACTATTCAGAATAACATTGAGACATAAAAATTCCTAAAGTTTGTAATATATATCACTTAGTATATTTCAAAATTCAAATATTTATATGTTTAAGACTGTATGAAAGGTTTGCTATTAAAGGTGAAACATAAGCTTGTGTGTGAAGTAATTTCCTTTGACTTTCAAGGATGTTTTCAAAATTGGGAAATTCTTTACAATTTATGTTTCTAAGGAAAGTTGAACTGTTAAATGAATTTTAAGTAATAATTAAAATGAAAACTTTATGTTGAGAATATTTTAAATATACCCTTCTTTGAATGGTTTAGCTCTAGAAAATTTTAAGTTTGTACTATATCTGAGCCATTTTGAACATTTTCAGAACTATTTAGAACTAATTAATAGTTACTGACATTGTGAAAAAGATGGGTACTGTGAAAAAAATGAATTATCACAGGGTATTGTAGAGCACACCTATAATCCTAGCATTCAGGAGGCTGAGGCAAGATGATCATGAGTTCAATGCCAGCATGGGCTACATTGCAATATTCTCTCATGAAATACCAAAAATCATAAAAATATAGCAGAATAAATATTAAGTTAATCAAGATGAAAATTTTTAAACTTAATTGTGCTAGGCATGGTGGGAGGCAGAGACATGCAGATCTCTGTGAGATCAGGGTCAGCCTGGTCTCCATAGTGAGTTCCAGGCCAGCTGTGGCTTCAGGGAAACCCTGTCTCAAAAAGACCAAAAAAAAAAAAAAAATCTTAAAATTAAACTGCTTCACTGTGAAAATCAGTCTAATTCTCTTTTTCTTTTTTCTTAAAAGTTGTGGAATTTGTAAAAAGAACCATGACCAGCATCTCCTTTTATTGTGTGATACCTGTAAACTCCATTACCATCTTGGCTGCCTTGATCCTCCTCTTACAAGGATGCCAAGAAAGACCAAAAACAGTTATTGGTAAGTACAGTGATAATGGAGGGGAGTTAGGTGTTAGAATTGTTTACTTTTTATTTTTTTTTATTTATTTTATTTTTATTTTTATTTTTTTCTTTATTAGAAGAAGCATTTCATTACATACTCTATAAGACATAAAATTAAATGAGTTTTTGACATTAAAAAAAAGATCTCCACTTCCTTGTTAAAATACACAGTTTCATACAGAAAAATTCATTTTAAGGCAATTGACATTGAGACGGTTCCACATGCATTTCTAATCTCTCTATATATGACTATTACTGTCACAGTCGCTTACTTTCTGAGTTCCTTGGCATCTGAGAATGAATATAAACTCATCAGGTAGACAGCCTTCCTCTCCCACTAGAGCCTCCATACTCTG